TGGCTCAATATGTCAATAGCATCAAGACTGAGAAACCCTAATCTAGACCACCATAAGCCATTACAACTTTATTGTAGAAATGTTTGAGTTTTGCACCTTTGTGTTTCACACAGTCTAGTTATCACTTGCTATGAAAACATCCTGCCTGAAAGTTTACTCTAGAATTCCCCATAGGAGACATTTTCCAAATTGAAAAAGGGGAAATTGTAACATATATGTCTTCGTCTTTTACATCTATACGGTGCTAACAGATACAAACTGCTGTTAGATAAACATGTCAAAATTAATTACAGAACAAATTTTTAAAGTTTAGAGCTATATATATACACACACACACATTTTTTTTTTCGAGACAGGGTCTTGTTCTCTCCCCTAGGCTGGAGGACAGTGGTGCAATATGGCTAACTGTAACTTCAGCCTCCTGGGCTCAAGGGATCTTCCCACTTAAGCCTCTCTAGCAGCTACAACTAAAGGCGTGCACCACCCGCCCGGCTAATTAAAAAAAAAAATGGTAGAGATGGCATCTCACTATATTGCCCAGGCTGGTCTCAAACTCCTGGGCTCAAGTGATCCTCCCACCTCAGCCTCCCAAAGCACTAGGCACGAGCCACTGTGCCTGGCCTAGAGCTAACATTAAGAGTCTCAGAGACTCTTTTAAAAATGAGAAGTTTATCTAATGCAAATATTTAACAGATCATAACTTTATATTCCAATCTAATGTTCACCAGTAAATTATTGCCCAAAATGCTCTGGCTAAGCAATGAGAAGTCAACCTGGGTGCCCTTTAGTAGTTACTGAAATTTAAGGACACCATCCTGGGAAACACACCCCACTGAAAGTGTTGCTTCAACTATCTTTTACTATCTACTACTGCCTGATGTGCTTTCACTGCAATACTAAGGGCATTTATGGTTTATTATACTGGTTGCAAGACAAATGAGACAAGGCAAGACTTAGGCTTCAAGCTGTGGAAAAGTCTTGATCTTGGCCAGGCGCATTGGCCCACTGCTGTAATCCCAGCACTTTGGGAGGCCGCGGCAGGAGGATCACGAGGTCAGGAGATTGAGACCATCCTGGCTCTTGATGAAACCATCTCTATTAAAAATACAAAAATTATCCCAGCACCTGGGGAGGCCGAGGCAGGAGGATGATGAGGTCAGGAGATCGAGACCATCCTGTCTCTCGATGAAACCGTCTCTATTAAAAATACAAAAATTATCCCAGCACTTGGGGAGGCCGAGGCAGGAGGATCACGAGGTCAGGAGATCGAGACCATCCTGGCTCTCGATGAAACCGTCTCTACTAAAAATACAAAAATTATCCCAGCACTTTGGGAGGCCGAGGCGGGCATATCACGAGGTCAGGAGATCGAGACCATCCTGGCTAACACGATGAAACCCCATCTCTACTAAAAATACAAAAAATTATCCGGGCGTAGTGGTGGGTGCCTGTAGTCCCAGCTACTCGGGAGGCTGAGGCAGGAGAATGGGGTGAAGCCGGGAGGCCGAGCTTGCAGTGAGTCGAGATTGCGCCACTGCACTCCAGCCTGGGTGACAGAGCAAGACTCCATCTGAAAAAACAAAAAACAAACAAACAAACAAAACCACAAAAATTAGTTGGGCGTCATGCTGCGTGCCTGTAATCCCAGCTACTCAGGAGGCTGAGGCAGGAGAATAGCTTGAACCAGGGAGTCGGAGGTTGCACTAAGCTGAGATCACACCTCTGCACTCTAGCCTAGCAACAGAGCGAGACTCTGTGTCAAAAAAAAAAAAAAAAAAAAAGTCTATTGATCTTATTTTTATTATTTAATATTTCAGGTTATAATAAGGAACAGAGAATAACACAATGAATATCCAGTTTCTTCTCAAACAGCTTAAGAAATAAAGCATTACCAATATGATAGAAGCCTCTGTAGAACTCTCAAGATCCCATTCTCTTCCCCCCCCCAGAGGTAATCACTCTCCTGAATTAGGTGTTTATCACTCCCCTGCTCGTTTTTATTTTCATACTACATGTGTAATCTGTAAGTAATATATGGTTTTGCTATACTTGTTTTAAAACTTATACAAATGGTATCAAACATATCTTACCCCGAGAAACCCAAAAACGTATCTTCTACAACTTCCTATTTGTTATTAATAATTTCCTGCACTTAATAACTATAGGAATCAAGAGACGAAGCGAAAGTAATTGCTGAATTAGTCAGTTTTTCTCTCTTTAAAAGAGAGAAATCTGTGATTGGGTTGAATTTGTCCCCAAATGCACCTGCCTACAGTGCTGTGCCCGTTTCTACTACATGCCAAAGAAACTGGTAACTGAAATTCACACCCGTACAGCCAAAGACAGGAGAGTTCACTAATATCCACAAGCCCAAAGTCCAGTTCTACCATATGAAATCCAGTGGTCTAAAAAGTTTTCCTCAGGCTTCTATGAAAGGGTGGTAACTGAATACAGGCAGTGAATTCACTGCAACTATTTTTACACAGAATTCACTATGCTCACTTCGTTTGCTTTCCAAGGAATATTAATAGCAGTAATAGAAACCAGATTTGACCAGTCTATTTTCAGACATAAAACATCACAAGTTTGCTAAAGCAGATCACCGAAAACATAAAAGCCCTTATTTATAAGTGAGTGAAAGAAAATAATGGCTACATATTTTTATTCCTTCTATTTCAGAAGGTAAGTAGAGGAGTGAAAGAGATAAGAGTAAAAACATTAGCTGAGTTTTAATAGTTCTTCTAAGGATTCAAACATGCTGGTCTCAGAATGGTACATTAGAGTCAGATTTAAACCAGGACGCTCCCCTAAGGGAGACAGCTGACATGATTATTGCTCTCTTCACAGATACACAGTCAAGTCTGCTGACATTTTTTACCAGGCTAGTTCAGCAGCTGTTACAGAGAAAGTAGATATCTAGTGCTCAGAAGATTCATGGAGGGATGGACTGTAAATGCAGGGTGAGAGTACCTCAAAGTACACTGCTGATTAGGCCTAACAAATGGCTTGCTCAGGAAAAAAGGTGAACACTAAACGCATTACCAAAGAAGGAAAAAAAATAGGTTTGTGTAGTATTAAGAATAATCTACAGATCAAGTCTAGAAAATTTTTTATCTTTGTGTGTGTGTGTGTGTGTGTGTGTGTGTGTGACGGAGTTTTGCTCTTGTTGTCCAGGTTGGAGTGCAATGGCGTGATCTCGGCTCACTGCAACCTCCACCTCCCAGGTTCAAGCGATTCTCCTGCCTCAGCCTCCCAAATAGCTGTGATTACAGGCATGTGCCACCATGCCTGGCTAATTTTGTATTTTTAGTAGAGACGAGGTTTCTCCATTTTGGCCAGGCTGGTCTCAAACTCCTGACCTCAGGTGATCCACCCACCTCACAGGTGTGAGCCGCCATGCGAAAAGTCTTTTATCTTTAAGAATAAAAGATGTGGCCGGGTGTGGTGGCCCACGCCTGTAATCCCAGCATTTTGGGAGACTGAAGCATGTGGATCACCTGAGGTCCGGAGTTCAAGACCAGCCTGGCTAACAGGAGAAACCCTGTCTCTACTAAAAATACAAAATTAGGCCGGGCGCGGTGGCTCAAGCCTGTAATCCCAGCACTTTGGGAGGCTGAGACGGGCGGATCACGAGGTCAGGAGATCGAGACCATCCTGGCTAACACGGTGAAACCCCGTCTCTACTAAAATACAAAAAAAACTAGCCAGGCAAGGTGGCGGCGCCTGTAGTCCCAGCTACTCGGCAGGCTGAGGCAGGAGAATGGCGTGAACCCGGGAGGCGGGGCTTGCAGTGAGCTGAGATCCGGCCACTGCACTCTAGCCTGGGTAACAGAGCCAGACTCTGTCTCAAAAAAAAAAAAAAAAAAAAAAAAAAAAAATTAGCCGGGCATGGTGGCGCATGCCTGTAATCCCAGGTACTCAGGGGGCTGAGGCAGGGGAATCGCTTTAACCCAGGAAGCAGAGGTTGCAGTGAGCTGAGATGGTGCCATTGCACTCCAGCCTGGACAACAAGAGCGAAACTCCATTTCAAAAAAAAAAAAAAAAGATGTAAGTTGTTCTTACTTTGCCCCATACCCTTGTAGCAAGGACTCTGATTGTTACCATGCTGCTTTCCACTTCTATCCTCAAAGTAGAGTCCCTGAGTACAATAAGGCCCAAGAAAGAACAAAAGAAGTAGAGAAGAAGCAAGGTGAGATGCCAGGTCTAGGAGTGTGTTTCTAACAGGTTTTAATGATGCTGGAGGCTATTATCCTTAGCAAATTAACACAGGAACAGAAAACCAAATACCACGTGTTCTCACTCATAAGTGGGAGCTAAATGATGAGAACACATGAACACAAAGAAGGAAACAACAGACACTGCAGTCTACTTAAGTGGGGAGGGAGGGAGGAGGGAGAGAAGCAGAAAAGATAACTATTGGGTACGGGGCTTAATATTTGGGTGATAAAATATGTACAATAAGCCCCATGACATGTGTTTACCTATGTAGAAACCTTCACATGTACCCCCAAACCTAAAAGTTTTTTTTTTTAAGTTTTAAGAATCAATCAAAATACAATGTTTTAATGTGCTTATTATCTAATTAGTTAACACACTGATCAATAATCTTATATAAAATTAAAGCCAAAAGACTTTGGAATCACAAGAATAACTGGCCAGAGAGATTTTAAAAAATTCAGGCAAGTTGTTTTTGTCATGAGTGATAGCTAGACAAAAAGGCTAAAGTAGCATCACAATAAAGCTGTCATGGAGATTTCAGATTAGAGTTGTAAGGGAGTCTAGATAATTATAAATGGACCGGCACTAAGGGCCATGATGTAGCAATGACCAATAAATGCACTGCAAAGGGAATTCAACAACATGTTGGGAAAGAGAGCAAATGAAAATTCAGTGCAAAGCAGACTGGTTCTGAAATGGTGCTTACTAATCACCAAGTCAGACCCACCCCCAGGTTCACACAGGTCAGGACTGTATTTATACTCCTTATCACTTTTCCTTACCTAAGTATATCACTGACAGTAATTTCAGGGATGAATTTTTGAAGATACTTCACTGTTGCACCAAGAAAACACGCTTTATACATTTCAGTAACTCCATAGGAAAAATTCTGGGATGCCAGTTTAATCAAGCCACTGAAAACAGAGCAAAACAAATCTTTATGGACAATGGAATTCTTTATTACTCTAAAATACCTTTACAATTATTAGATTCTTTTTTTTATGTCATCACAAAAATCTAGGCAAAGTCAGAAAAACTACAGATTAAAAGAAAATCAAGGCAAGGAGTGGTGGCTCACGCCTGTAATCCCGACACTTTGGGAGGTCAAGGCAGGCAGATCACTTGAGGTCATGAGTTCGAAACTAGCCTGGCCAACATGGCAAAACCCTGTCTCTACCAAAAATACAAAAATTAGCCAGGCATGGTGGTGCACGCCTGTAATCCCAGCTAATCAAGAGGCTGAGGCAGGAGAATTGCTTGAACCTGGGAGGAAGAGGTTGCAGTGAGCTGAGATCGTGCCACTGCACTCCAGCCTGGGCAACACAGAGAGCCCCTCTCTCAATCAATCGATCGATCAATGAAAATCAACTTTTGGCCAATATAAGAAGCAAACCTCATCAGCTCAGGAGGTAAACAGAGCTGGGCATGGTGGTGTGTGCCTGTAGTTCCAGCTACTAGGGAGGCTGACATGGGAGGCTCGTTTAAGCCCAGGAGTTTGAGGCTGCAGTAGCCAATGATTGTGCCACTGCACTTCAGCCTGGGCAACAGTGAGACTTTGACTCAAAAAAAAAAAAAAAAAATACAGAGGTAAACACCTTCTAAACTCAAATTCCCAAGGAGGGGTTTCAAACTAGAACTCTATAAAGCCTGCCAATATCAAGGCTCTCTAATGCAAATATTACATGCCTTCAACACACCTAAAAGGCAGTGTATGAAAGAAATGGGACATCTACCCTAGTTTTCCTTAGTCAGCCAGAGGTAAAATACTTTAGTTGTTGAGGCAGGGTGTGGTGGCTCATGTCTATAATCCCAGCACTTTGGGAGGCCAAGGCAGGTGGATTGCTTGAACCCAGGAGTTCAAGATCAGCCTGTGTAACATGGCAAACCCTGTCTCTACAGAAAACACAAAAATTATCTGGGCATGGTAGCATCTGCCTGTAGTTCCAGCTACTTGGATGGTGAAGTGGGAGAACTGATCGATCCCAGGAGGTTGAGGCTGCAGCGAGTGACAAAGTAAGACCCTGTCTCAAAATTACAAAACAAAAAAACCTTTAGTTATGATTTTCAAGTGAGACTCTGCAAAGCCTAGATGCATATATGTATATATTTTTACAAGTACACGTGCCAGGAAGCTCCATCCTAAACTTTCTGTTTCAGAATCCATGGAGGGTGAAACTCAAGTATAGCTTTAAATCTAGTGATTTAAACATGAAAATCTAGTAATTTTCATGTGAAACCCTTTAGAGAGAAACATTGCTAAAAGGACCAAACAAAATACCTAATTCAAACAAAACACCTAATTCAGTTATTTCTTACAATAGTAAAGAATTTGTATCTTAGGTCAACACAATTGTATTGTTAGTTTCCTACACAAGGAAATTACTTTGGTCATCAGTAATTTCTCCAGTGGCTTACAAAATGATGGAGACTGGCTCAAAATGATTTTATTAAAATAGCCGTCTACTGATTTTGAGAGAATCTATTTTTCACCCCCAAATAAAACTGGAAAGTTAGCAATACAAGATTTAGATTGCCAGATATATGAATGACTCTTGGCCTTATCTTCTTTTCATTTTTTTATTTTTTATTGATTGATTGATTGATTGATTGAGACAGAGTCTTGCTCTGTCGCCCAAGCTGGAGTGCAGAGGCAGCGATTTCAGCTCACTGCAAGCTCTGTCCCCTGGGTTCATGCCATTCTCCTGTCTCAGCCTCCCAAGAAGCTAGGACTATAGGCGCCTGCCACCATGCCTGGCTAATTTTTTGTATTTTTAGTAGAGACAGGGTTTCACCATGTTAGCCAGGATGGTCTTGGTCTCCTAACCTCGTGATCCACCTGCCTTGGCCTCCCAAAGTGCTGGGATTACAGGTGTGAGCCACTATGCCTGGCCGGTCTTATCTTCTTTTTAACCAAGACATTACCCTGGCTCATCAGAATTTTCTTGAAGTAGTTAAAATGTTATGCTTATTCCACAAAGCTCTTTTTTTTTTTTTTTGGTGACTCCATCCACTCTAAAGCTTTTAATTTGAATTAATACAAAATTCAATATACCAATCACAAAAATGGGGATTTACCCAATAAGTAGAATATCAAGAAAGACAAAACTTCCCACATTGAAAATATAAGCACATAAAATCATTTTTAAGAATAAATAACATTACCTATTAATAATTATATCCATAACATCTGTGGCACTGAAGTCAAAGGGTCTGTAACCCTCTCGTTTAAAGGCAAGAACTGCATTAGGACCTAGCCAAATACTGCCATCCATCCTTGGTGTGAAGTGAACTCCTAGGAAAGGAAACCGGCTATCTGGGACCTATAAATTTAACATAGTAAATAACAGCCTCATTTCACATTCCATGTTATCAGAGATGCAAACATTCAATTGGTAACATAAAACACTTTCTTCCCATGCATTTAATTTGTATTGTGAGCTGTACTCAGATATACTTTTCCATTAACATGCTTCTGCTTAGAAATGCACACAAGAAACCCTGATGCTGGCCAGGCACAGTGGCTCACGCCTGTAATCCCAACACTTTGGGAGGCCAAGGCGGGAGGATCACTTGAGATCTGGAGTTCAAAACCAACCTGGCCAACATTGTAAAACCCTGTCTCTACTAAAAATACAAAAACTAGCCTGGCATGGTGGTGTGCACCTGTGATCCCAGCTACTTGGGAGGCTGAGGCATGAGAATTGCTTAAATCCAGGAGGTGGAGGTTGCAATGAACCAAGATCGCACCACTGCACTCTAGCCTGGTCTCAAAAAAAAAAAAAGAAACTCTGATGTTATTAACACTAATACATCGTTCCATCTATGCATCTTTCTGGGTAAAGGGGAAAAAAAAGATGAACTGTCCTACTTCAGGTTATTCTCTGTCTTTCACAAGGGATGTCTATGACTGGAAAGTAAAATCAGAGCCGCCAGAAAAAAAATACACGTTCATAGCACAGGCTTCTGCAAAGTACAAATACATGAGGTTGAAACAGATGAAATTCATGTTTTGGCAAGGTCAAAAATATCAAATAGCCAAATACTGACTATTTCATCTGGTTCAACCTAATATATTTTAAGAGATTCATCATTTCCAGGGTAGTTCCAGACAGAAAAATGAACTCTTCATTTAAATACCTCTGTCTTCTAGTCCCTGAAACTACGAGTAGCCACATCCCTTTTCTGTACCTATAGATAGTGAACTGAGGAAAAGGGTTGGGTATCAGGGACTTCCATAAGGGAAAGTTTTCCCTTTCCCTCCACCAGAAAGAAGGAAGAATTCAGTTCCTTCCTGATAGCACTTCCCATAGTGCACTCATGCTTTCTGGAGACATGTACCTGCAGGCAATTAATTACAATTTAATAACCATGATACCAGCATAAAGATTTAGGGATTTAACCGCAAGAGAAACTGATGAAATGCTTACACAAATGGTCCTTCAAAATCGCTCTTATTTCTGACCCAAGTGAAAGTTGTTTTCATCTCCTTTATGACCACCACCTGCTTGAAAAAAATTAGAAGTAGGAAGCATCATTACCTACCGGATAAATATTTCCTTTTACAAGATAACATTTTTCCGGCTTCAAGAGCAGGTAATCTCCCCGGAATGGTACAATTCGAGGATCAGGAGTGCAGCCACTCAACTCTGAAATACGGTCTGAGTAAAGTCCTGCACATGTCACAACATACTGACATCGAATTTCCTCTCCCTAGTGCAAAATAAAATAATAGTTATTTGTATAGAGTGCAGTAGACTAGGTCAAGAGGGGGAAAACAGGTGATAGAAAAGAAAACAAGGTACAGAAATAGAATTTTTTCTAAAAGAGGATATTCAACACAGGTATCAGCAAAATATGTTCTTTAGCATTTAGGTGGCAGCTAGAAACTGAGGACAGTGGCATGTAAGAGGATGTCACCTTAAATTTTGTACTTTAAAGATAATAATGGTCAACCCAGCAAGGATACGTAGTAAGGTATACATGCATGCACACAAATACATACAAATCTGTTTATTAGGACCTAGCGGGGAGCTTCTTAACTATTTGTTGCATGAAGAAGCAAATGTCATTTAGATAGCCTCCACCAATTTTTTTTGCTCCCCCACCCACCCCACAGCTTTTAATTTGGATTAATTAAAAATTCAATATACGAATCACAAATACGAGGATTTACCCAATTAGTAGAATATCAAGAAAGACAAAACTTCCTACATTGAAAATGTAAGCATATAAAATAATTTTTAAAAATAAAGTTGTTACCTATTCATAATTATATCCATAACATCTCTGGCACTGAAGTCACAGGGCCTGTAACCCTCTCATTTAAAGGCAACCTCTGTATAGCAACCAGCTTCTCCTGTATCTGAGCAATTACTGTGTTACTCTTCAGTTGCCTCACACTCAATAATCCTGCCCAGTTGCAACTGTAATCTACCCACCAAGCAATTTCTCCTTCCTAATCAATATTTACTTTGCAAACTGAGGACACTTTAGAAATCTCATTCATTCAATGCACATTTACTGAGAGCACACACTACATTCAAGGTTTGCTTTAGTGCCTAGGAGACTGCTAATGTTAGGCTGTTATGATTTCCTATAAATTTTATTTTGTGATTATCATCTGCTCATTTTTAACTTTACTCACCAAATTTGGCCAATTTGCCACCCTATTTCCTAAATGACTTCATTTATCGCGCATTCACCACCACACTCGAATTCCCATCTCTTTACTTCTAACAGAGTAAACACCTAGCAATTCTGTTCTTATTCTTAGATCTTCTTCCCAGATGACCTATTTTTGAAGCCTCAGAATTCTCACCTGTCTCAACATTTTCTTTCTTTCCAGGCCTTACTGTTTAGCCTTACTCTATTGAGCTAAATTTCCACCTCTGTATGTATCCTATTTTTGCCCTTGCTAGAAAGTTAAGCCTCTTTTCAGGAGTTATACATGTCATCGTTTTTAGAAAAATTAGATGAAACTTCTCCACAAAGAATTCAAATTAGCTAGACTAAGCCATGATTGTTTTAAGACCTTTGAAGTCAAAAGGGTTGTCAAGGTCTTGCTCTGTCACCCAGGCTGGAGTGCGATGGCGCAGTCCTGGCTCACTACAGCCTCAACCTCCTGTGTTCAAGTGATTCTCTTGCCTAAGCAAACAGCTGGGACTACAGGTGTGAGCCACCACATCCAGCCAAAAATACCTTTTTCTAAATAGGTTAATATCTTTCCTGTTCATCTAGAGTTATATTCTAGAAATACGAGAGGTATTTTTGTGACATAAATCATCAGCTCCTACATAAAAGATTGGCAGTTCTTTTGTTCTTGGAACAAAAAAATGCAGATAAGTCTTATGATAGATGTAAAGATAGTAACAGAATTTATAAAATGGTACCAGCATGCAATAACCTAGTAATTCTCTTTAAAAACTCAAGCAACAGTTCCCAAGAAAATTATCAAAAACTATCACAGATTTCTGAAATCATTTTATGCTATATGTTAAACAATAATTAAATTCAGTAACATATTAATTTTACTTCCAAATTAAAATTTAGGTAACCATCATATGATACATGTGTTCAACATAAATTTCTTTTAGGCTGGGCACAGTGGCTCATGCCTGTAGTCCCAACATTTTGGGAGGCCAAAGTGGGAGGATCATTTGAGCCCAGGAGTTCAAGACCAGCCTGGGCAACACAGGGAGACTTTGTCTCCCTATGTTTTATTAGAGATAAAGTCTCTAATCAAAAAAAAAAAAAAAGAAATTAAAAAGAAGAAGAAGAAATAAACCATGTATGTCTATTGCTCTTTCATAAGTGAAGCAGATTTCTCCACACCCCCACAATATCCAACGTATAAATCTTTAATTAGCAAATCCTACCTGCAAAAATTTATTTTAAAAATCTCTGGCCAGGCGCAGTGGCTCACACCTGTAATCCCAGCACTCTGGGAGGCTGAGGTGGGTGAATCACTTGGGGCCAGGAGTTCAAGACCAGCCTGGTCAACATGGTGAAACCCTGTCTCTACTAAAAATACAAAAATTAACCAGGCATGGTGAGACACACCTGTAATCCCAGCTACTCATGTGGCTGAGGCACAACAATCACTTGAATCTGGGAGGCGGAGGTTACAGTGAGCCAAGAGCATGCCTCTGCACTCCAGCCTGGGCAACAGAGGGAGATTGTCTTAAAAAGACAAAATTTCTTTTAACTTTTCATAAAACTATTTCAACCTGGTAAGTGGACCGCTCAATTTGAATTTGAACCCCAAAATTATACTTACTGAAAATGCCAAAATAAAGAGCGGCAACTCTGGGTAAAGTATATATCCACTGGTATGCCATAGGCCCCTGTATATATTCTATCATATGATGCTATACTCTAGTGAAAATGTCCCTTAGATGAGGGCAGGCACAGAAACAGATTTTCAATTCTTCTTTGAATGGAAAGCCTGCCACTTGGGTCACATGACCCAGCAACTCTGATGGTAATCGAACTGTCTGCAGCAGATAGTCATACTTTATAGAGCCTTTGGAAGGCATATGTGGGCAAATCACAGCACAGAACTTCACGGTTTTTGGAGGAAAGTTATACCACCCTCTGCACATAACTAACCTCCTTTTGAGAAAGTGCTTCTGGCTTTGACTGAACACTTGACCACAGGTCACTAAGTTACCATATGAACTACCCATTATTAACTGGGTGGTGGTGTCTGACTCATCAAGCCACAACATTGGGTGTATATAGCAGCATTCCATCATCAAGAAAAATTGTAAGATAGGGTTGTACAGGTCCTGCTGGCACACATAAGTTGCAGAGGCAAGTGGTTCAAACTCCCATGGCCCCTATGCCTGCTAAATTGCCTCCTTCCTATCAACTTGCCTCTATAGCCCCACAGGGAGTTCTCTATGACCAGTTGACCTAAGAAGAAAAAATATAGGCCAGGTTTAGAAATGGTTCTGCACAACATGCTGGTACCACACACAACTGAACAGCCACAGCACCAGAGCCCCACTCATGAGTGGCCCTGAAGGACTGTGGTGAAGAAAATATTCTCAGTGGGCAGATCTCTGAACACCACACCTAGTTGTTCATCTTATTTCAGAAGGACAGATGGCCAAAGGTATGGATCTACACTGTTTCATGTGCAACAACTAATGGTTTGGCTAAATGGACAGGGAAACGACCTATGGAGAAAGGTGTATGAACGGACCACTTCAAAACAGTTTCAGAGAGTAAAGATATTCAAGTTCCATATGAATGCTCACTGAAGAGAAATCTTGGCCAAGGACAATTTTAATAATCAGTAGAAAAAAATGACCTGCTCTGTGGATGTTAGTTAGCCTCTTTCTCCAGGCACCCATCTCATGAACTACATGATTAGGTGTAAAGATAGTCTCCATAAATGGTGCTGGGAAAACTGGATAGCCCCATGCAAAAGAATGAAATTGGACTCCTATTTTACACCATTCACAAAAATTAACTTGAACTGGATTAAATATTTAGATTAAAAGATTAAAGATTTTAGATTAAAAACTAAGACTCCCGGAAGAAAACATAGGGAAGACATTGCTCTTAGGAATGATTTTTTTTTTTTTAAATAAGGCACCAAAAGCACAGGCACAAAAGCAAAACTAAACAAATGTGACTATATCAAACTAAAAAGCTTCTGCACAGTAAAAGAAATGAAGAGACAACCTACAGAATTGGAGAAAATATATCTGATAATAGGTTAATATCCAAAAAAATGTAAGAAATTCATATAATTCAATAGCAAAATAACAAATGAGCTGATTAAAAAATTAGCAAAGAAAGGCCAGGCACGGGGGCTCATGCCTGTAATCCCAGCACTTTGAGAGGCCAAGGCGGGTGGATCACCTGAGGTCAGGAGTTCGAGACCAGCCTGACCAACATGGAGAAACCCCATTTCTACTAAAAATACAAAATTAGCTGGGTGTGGTGGCGCATGCCTGTAATCCCAGCTACTCAGGAGGCTGAGACAAGAGAATCACTTGAACACGGGAGGCAGAGGTTGAGGTGAGCCAAGATCGTGCCACTGCACTCCAGCCTGGGCAACAAGAGCGAAACTCCATCTCAAAAAATAATAATAAACACAATAAAATAAATAAAAATGGGCAAAGAAGCCGGGCATGGCAGCACGTGCCTATAATACCAGCTACTTTGGAGGTTGAGGCAGGACAGCTTGAGCCCAGGAGTTTGAGGCTGCAGTGAGGCATGGTCATGCCACTGGACTTCAGCCTGGGTGACAGAGACTCTGTCTCAAAAAAAAAAAAAAAAAAATGGCCAGAGGTGGGGAGGGCAAAGGACCTGAATATGTATTTTTATGTATTTTTTTCAAAGATATACGGATAGCCAACAGATACATGTAAAGGCATCCAAATCACTAATCATCAGGAAAATCAAAACCACAATAAGATATAATCTCACATCTGTTAGGATGGCTATTATCAAAAAGACAAAAGAAAAACATTGGTGAGGATGTAGGGTGCCCTATCGATGGGAATGTAAATTGGACAGCCATCACAGGAAACGGTATGCACATTCCTCAAAAAATTAAAAATAGAACTACCATATGATCCAAATTAAAAATAGAACTACCATATGATTTCCTCTGGGTATATACCCAAACAAAACAAAATCAGTACCTCAAGGAGATATCTGCATTCTCATGTTCATTGCAGCATTATTCACAACAGCCAAGACATGAGAACAACCTTAAGTGTCCATTGACAGATGAATGGATAAAGAAAATGTGATATATATATATATATGTGTGTGTGTGTATATATATGTGTGTGTGTATATATATATGTGTGTGTTTATACATACAATGCAATACTATTCAGCCGTAAAAAAGGAGGAAATTCTGCCATTTGTGACAACATGGGTGGGCCTGGAAGATACTGTGCTAAGTGAAATAAGCTAGACAGTGAAAGACAAATACTGTACAATCTCACTTACATATGGGATCTAAAATAGTTGTATTCATAGAAAAAGAGAGTACAATGATGGTTGCTACAGACTGGGAGGAGGTGGGCAGGAATGGGATGATATTAGTCAAAGGGTACAAACTTTCAATTATAGGATGAATAAATTCTAGAAATCTAATATACAGCATGGTGACTACAGGTAATAATACTGTATGGTATACTTGAAATTTGCTAAGATAGCAAATCTAAGTGTTCTCATCACATACACATAAATGGTAACTATGTGAGGTGGCAGATGTGATATCAAATAACTTGATTGTGATAATCATTTCACAATGTAAACATAAAGCTGGAAAACATAGTTATGGTAGCAAGGTTGGAGGTGATCAGCAACATGGACTTATTCACCGAGGCTGATCTGTCTACAGCTAATGCTGAGTGCTCAATCGGCCATAGTAGAGACCAAAAGAGCCACTGATATGGTCTCTGGACCACTTCCATCATAGAAAATGCAGCACTTATTTCTCACTTGCATAGACACTTGCTCGGAATATAAATTTGTCTTCCCTGCCTATAATGCTTCTGCCAAAGCCACCATGTGTGAACTTATGAGATGTCTTATTCACCATCATGGTATTTTACAGAGAATCATTACTTCTGATCAGTGAACTTACTCTGCAGCAAATGAAATGCAGCTATAGGCTCAGGATCATGGAATTCACTGATTTTACCATTTTCCCCATCACCCTGAAGCCACTGGGTGACAGAAACTGGAATGAGCTTTAGACGTAATAGCACTAGCTGGCTGGCAACTCCTTGAAGGGCTGGGGCAATTTCCTCCAGGATGCTCTATGTGCTCTAAATCAGTGACTAATATATGGTATTGTTTGTCCCACAGCCAGAATTCACAGGTCTGGAAATTGAGGTAGAAATGAGGGTGGTTCCTTACTATTACCCCAATCATCCACTACATGAAATGTTTGCATTCTGTCCTCACAACTTTGGTCTTATGATCTAGAGGTCTTAGTTCCCAAGGGAGAAGTACTTCTACTAGAGAATGACAGTGGTTCCATTAAACTGGAGGTTGATACTGCAACACCTGGCCACTTTGGGTTCCCTTGCCAGTAAATCAAAGAGGGGATTGCTGTATTGAATTGGATAACTAATCTTGACTCTCAAGAAAATGAGTTGCTACCACAACTAGTCTTGGGGATGATAAAAAGGAATATGTCTGGAATACATATCTCCTGAAGCTTCTCTTAGTATTCCCATATACTGTTATAAAAGTTATTGGAAACTACCTCAACCCAAAACAGCCAGGGCTGCTAATGGCATAGACTTCAGGAATGAAAGTGTGAGCTACACCACCAAACTAGAAACCATGACCAGCTAAGATGCTTGCCAAAGGCAAAGAGAATATGAAATGCATAGTAGGGGAAGGATATCGTAAATATTGGCTATGGCCACATGACTAGTTACAGAAATGAGGGATGTTATAATCTGAGTATATCTTACTTTAAAATAATAAATACATTTCTCCATACATTACCTAATTCTTTATTTATTCCCATTGCTATAGACTGAATTGTGCCACCCCACACCCCAATTCATACATTGAAGCCCCAACCCTTAATGTGAATTTTATGTGGAGACAGGGCCTTTAGGGAGGTAACTAAGGTTAAATTAGGTCATAAGGGTAGGGGCTAATCCAATAGCACTGGTGTCCTTACAAGAGGAAGAGATACCCAAGATCATGCTCTCTCTTTCCGGGCGCACACAGAGAAGAGGCCATGTGAGGACATAGTAAGAAGGCAGCCATTAACAAGCCAAAAATCAACCCTACTAGCACCTTAATCTTGAACTTTTAGCCTCCAGAACTGTGGGCTTTTTAGGCCACCCAGTTTGTTCTATTTTGTTATGGAAGTCTGAGAAGACTAATATACTCATCTCTACCATTTCCACATTATCTAACACAGGGTTTCTCAACCTCAGTACTACTGACTTTGGGGGATAGACATTTCTTTGTTTTGGGGGCCTATTCCCCACACTGAAGGATGTTTAGCAACATTCCTGGTGTCTACCTACCAAATCCCAGTTGCTGTGCCCCTCCCCTCTCCAGCAGTTGTGACAATCAAAAATGTCTCCAAACATTGCCAAATGTTCCCTGAGAAGTAAAACTGCCTCTAGTTGAGAACTACTTATCTAATACAAAATGCTTAAATAGTGGTTAACCTTATATCTTGGTATTTAAGTTACAGGATCTCAAAGCGGGAGTGTAACTCAGCTAGTAAAAATTAAACATAACCCAGGAGGGATAAAGTAGACTTTGTTTTTTTTTGTTTTTGTTTGTTTGTTTTTTTGAGAGTTAGTTAGCATGTCTTCAGTCCTATGAAAGATAGTTACACCTTGTTAGGTGGAAGCATACTTTTACTTCTGTCTTTATTTGGAAGCTAAATATCATTATAAGGTTATAAGGGGCGTGGACAGATGTCAGGTTGACAAAGGGTAGACTGTAGGGGTTTGTACTGTGTCCATTTGGTTAAGCTAGGAACTATGCTTGACAGAATCCCCTTCTCTTCATGGTTCCAACTTAAAGTTGGTCAAAACAGGAGCTGCATATAATCTGGTGGCAGAGGGTCGGGCGCGGTGGCTCACACCCGTAATCCCAGCACTTTGGGAGGCCGAGGTGGGCGGATCACAAGGTCAGGAGATCGAGACCATCCTGGTTAACATGGTGAACGCCTGTCTCTACTAAAAATACAAAAAATTAGCTGGGTGTGGAGGCGGGCGCCTGTAGTCCCAGCTACTTGGGAGGCTGAGGCAGGAGAATGGTGTGAACCCGGGAGGCGGAGCTAGCAGTGAGCCGAGATTGCGCCACTGGACTCCAGTTGGGGCGACAGAGTGAGACTTCATCTCAAAATAATAATAATAATAATAATAATAATAATAATAATAATAATAATCTGGCAGCAGAAGTAAATCAGCAGGTATTATTCTCTGAAGGTCATCCTAGTCCAAAGAGGTGACAGACAGATATCCACTGTCCAGTGAATTCCAGCTCCATATTCAGCTCTGTTTCCCAATTACTGATCCATTAACTCTCTTCTGAATCTACACTTTCCCAGAAACTTCCACAATTGTGTAAGGTCTTATTCTATAATAAATCCTAGAGCACTCATTAATGACTCTGCTCCCTTGAGTACAACCTGATGCAGTGAACCTACAGGGAATCCACTGCTTCTATGCCATTCAATGGTTCTTGCTTTAGGTCTATGTGAAGATGAAAAAAAGCAGTCCATCTCCCTTTGGAAAACCTGTGTACTCCCTCTACCGAAGTCTTCTAATTTATAGAGTTAATAAGTTAGTGAAGATCAGTAGGCAGAGTGATAAAATATCTATCAGTTTTGCCTTAAAATTAAACACTCCATATGCTTATAATCCTGTTCTTTGCCAGCACAGTCACTTAATTAGGACATTCCCAAGTTGAAACTCTCCTTAGAATAAAAGCTGTTAAACCTCCCTAAAAGAAATTCTCTCAGAATTACTTTTACATTAGATAAATGCCATTCAATAACTTAAAATACAGCCCTGTGGGTTAATTTAATTTTTAATAAAGGGGAGGGAAATAAAGTAGCCAGCAGTTTTGCTTAAGAATCTTTACCTTTGTATTCTTTATAACAATCGGATATTGCATTCCTGAAAAAAAAAAGTAAAAAATTTATTTTTAGCAAAAGGCCAATATTATTTGAAATATTACACTAGCAACAAACTTAAATAACTTTTTTTCTGTCATTACTATGATTGTACCCTACAGTTCATTCTGAAACTTTTTACCAAATAACAATGAAACTAGTTCATACTTAACAACATATAAAACTCCAGCATGTTTTTAGCTTGGTTTTAACTCATCTAATCTATGCTTATAAACCATACCCCACCTGACCTCCAACATAGACATAGCTATTATAATCCTGGAAACCACACTGTATAATGGATCATCATAAACCAGTATGTATTTTCCCACAGAACTAAAGCTATGATATGAGAAACCTTGCCATCCACGTGTTGGTTACTGGATTCTTTGCAGGTTCTACATTGTTTAGAGAAGCAAGAGTTCTCGCAACACAAAAACTTCCAATAAAAAACTGACCATTTTTAAAATTAGTTCCCACTCAGATACACGGGATCTCAAAGTTTTATAAAGCATACATAGAGCAGATAAATATAATCTACTTGTACCATAAATTTGGTTTATTATGCTACCTATCTAAAAAAACTTTAATTATTTAACAATTTTGCTCATCATTTTAGAATTCAGAAAGACAGAATGATTCAGATGGCTTAGATCTCCTTAAAAACCTGTCAAGGAAGAAAGAACAGAACACTACTTTTTTTCTCCTTCAAATTTCTCAACAGCAAATAGAAGCCTCAAAAATCTATCATCTGGACAAAAAAAAAATTAATGCCCTCAAAGCAAAACAAGACAAACTCTTAATTGCACTCTTAAACTGTGTGGGGGCTGGGCATGAGGTGGGGGGAGTTCCAAATGACCAGGTCATTTTATGACCTTAGGCTGTCATTCTGACATTCTGAAACTTGGGTGTGTCTAAAAATCACTAAAAGCTTATTACTAGGTGCTATTTCCAGACAGTCTGATTCAGTAAGTCTGGGTGATGCTAACATTTGCATTTTGGGCCAGGCACGGTGGCTCATGCCTGGAATCCCAGTATTTTGGGAGGCCAAGGTGGGCAGGTCGTTTGAGCTTAGGGGTTCAAGACAAGCATGGACAACATAGTGAGACCTTGTCTCTTTTTATAATTAAAAAAAAAAGGAAGAAGAAGAAGGAAGGAAGAAAAGAAGAAAAAGGATATTTAAAAAGATAGCTTGGATCCCTTTCATGGTTCTCGAAATACACAAGCAGGGCTGAGGCACAGTGGGCTCACTCCTGTAACCCTGGAACTTTGGAGGCTGAGGTGGGTGGATCACCTGAGGTCAGGAGTTTGAGACCAGCCTGACCAACATGATGAAACCCCATCTCTACTAAAAACACAAAATTAGCTGGGCATGGTGATGCATGCCTGTATTTCCAGCTACTCAGGAGGCTGAGGCGGAGAATCACTTGAACCTGACAAGGCGGAGGTTGGAGTGAGCCAAGATCGCGCCATTGCACTCCAGCCTAGGCAATAGCGTGAGACGCCCGTCTGAAAGAAAAAAAAACAAAAGAAATTATAAGCAAAAGAGTTCTTCTGAAATTACTCTTAGTGGTACTGACACCTCTCTAATGACTGAGCCACATAGGTCACTGCTTTTTTTTTTTTTTTGAGACAGAGTCTCACTCTGTTGCACAGGCTGGAGTGCAGTTCACTGGTGCAATCTCAGCTCACTGCAGCCTCTGCTTACCAGATTCCAGCAATTCTCCTGCCTCAGCCTCCGGAGTGCTGGGTTACAGGCAACGCATCACTACACCCAGTTAATTTTTTGTATTTTTAGTAGAGACAGGCTTTTACCATGTTGACCAAGCTGGTCTGGAACTCCTGACCTCAGTGATCCACCCACCTCGGCTCCAAACTGTGGGATTACAGGCATGAGCCACCGTGCCTCCAGGTCACTGCTTTATACAGACATATTTACAGCTGTCAATAAAAGGATCAATTCAGTCCTGTACTCTTCACAGAGACACAAGGTTTGCCAATTTTCCTACTGACTACGTTTGCCATTTAGAGATACAGAACCTGAATAGTTAATACCGGTAAACTAGACATCTGAGTCCCATAGGATTTTGCAAATAAAAAAAACTTATTTTAGTAATTAAAACAAATTTTTTTATGTTTAGTAAAGATTGGTTCTCACCATGTTGCCCAGGTTGGTCTTGAACTCCTGAGCTCAAGCGATCCACCCACTTTGGCTCCCAAGTGCTCAGATACAGGCGTGACCACTGCCCTCAGTCCTAAAAAAAAAATTTTTTTTTTTGAGACAAAGTCTCACTGTGTTGCCCCTGGCTGCAGTGCAGTGATACGATTATAGCTCACTGCAGCCTCAAACCCTGTGCTCAAGCATCCTCCTGCCTCAGCCTCCTAAGTAGCTGGAATACAGGTGTGTGCTTACCATGCCAGGGAATTTTTTAAAAATTTTTGTAGAGACAGGTCTCGCTATGTTGCCTAGGCTGGTCTTAAACTCCTGGCCTCAAGTGATCCTCTCTTCTTGGCTCTCAAGTACTTCTGAAAATTTTAACTTCACAATTAGATTTGCTGTCTAGACTTCTAAGGGAGAAAAAAAAGAAAAAAAAAAATTCTCCAGAATGGTATATGTTCCTTAGGAGTGGTAAAGTCTAGCACAACTGGAAGACTAATTTACATGTTGATATATATAGACAAGCCAAAAGGAAAGTTCATGTCATAATGAAATTTTTCTCTCCTTCCAGGAGATAATAAATTATCATTCAAGCTGGGTGTGGTGGCTCACGCCTGTAATCCCAGCACTTGGGAGGCTGAGGCAGGAAGATCACCTGAGGTCAAGAGTTTAAGACCAGCCTGGCCAACATGGTGAAAACCATGTCTTTACTAAAATACAAAATTAGCCAGATAGGGTGGCACATGTTTGTAATCCCAGTTACTCAGGAGGCTGAGGCAGGAGAATCGCCTGAACCCAGGAGGCAGAGTTTGCAGTGAGCCAAGATTATCCCATTGCACTCCAGCCTGGGTGACAAGAGTAAATTCTGCCTCAAAAAAAAATAAATAAAATAAATAAAATAAAATAAAAATAATTATCATTCATCAGTTATAAAATTCTGGTTTTATAGGAACTTTCAAAATTCTTCAGTTTATGGTTCTTATGTCCTTTTTTTAGTCACCTGGTTATTTCTATTCCTGGTTGTTCAAACTAGTCTAACTGTAAGTCTAGAGCAATGGTTCTCAACCAGGAGTGACTCCTTCACCCCCAACTCTAAGGGAACATTTGCCAACGTTTAGAGACACCTTTTTTTTTTTTTTTTTTGTCACAGAGTCTCCTCTGTCCCCAGGCTGGAGTGCAGTGGCGTGATCTGGATCACCGTAACCTCCGCCTCGCCCGGGGTTAAGTGATCTCCTGCCTCAGCCTCCCTGAGTAGCTGTGGACTACAGGCGTAAGCCACCACGCCCAGCTAATTTTTTGTATTTTTCTGTAGAGACGGGGTTTCACCCATGTTGGCAGGATGGCCTCGAATCTCTTGACCCTCATGATCCGCCCACCTCGGCCTCCAAAGTGCTGGGATTACAGGCGTGGAGCCACTGGTGCCCGGCCTAGAGACATTTTTAAATTGTAATCTCACTTGGGGGCGTGATGGTACTGGCATCCAGTGGACCAGAAGCCAGGGATAACTGCAAAACATCCTACAGTGCCACGATAGCCCCCTACAACAAAGAAGGATCTGGGCCCAATATCAATAACGTCAAGATTAAGAAACCTTTCCTAGACCTCCCTCTGCAATTACCTTGGTATCCTACTTCCTAGTCCATGCCTCTTAGCTTCCACCTTCCTGTTGTGCTTCACAGCCAGCTTTTTTCCTTCATTCTAACCCAGCCAATTTCTCAAACTCTTCTGTCTTCATTTTAAACAGTGAAGCTTTTCCACCTGACATCTTTGTTAATCTGAAATTCTTGCTCATTATTCAGCTTGTAGGGAACATGGTGTGGGTCAATATAGTTCAGTAATTAACTATGTGGCTTTAGGTACAGACTGTCTGAGTTGAAATCCAGACTCCACCACTTACTACTTGTACAACCATGGCCCATGTTTCTTACTCTCTCTGTACCTCAGTTTTCTCACCCTAAAAAAATGTGAGTAATTAATGGTACCCTGCCACAGAATTTAAGAGTCAAATGAGTTAATACTTGGAAAGCACTAAGTGCTTAATAAAATGTTAGCTATTGGCCAGGGACCAGTGGCTCCACACCTGTATCCTAGCACTTGATGGTGAGGTCAAGTGGCAATGGACTCACGTGAGTCAGGATTCAGCACGCATAGGGAACATGGTGGACCCTGTCTCTACAAAAAATAAAACAATTGGGACGGGCAACGATGGCTCACACTTGTAATCCTAGCACTTTGGGAGGCCGAGGAGGGAAAATCACTTGAGCTCGGGAGTTCGATACCAGCCTGGGCAACACAGTGAGACCTCATCTCTATAAAAATTAAAATTTAAAAAAAAGGAAAAATACAAAAATTAGCCAGGTGTGGTGGTGGCAAGCACCTGTAGTTTCCCCTATTCGGACGGCTCAGGTGGGAGGATCACTTGAGCCTGGGAGGCGAAGGTTACAGTGAGCGGGGATCACGCCACTGCACTCCAGCCTAGGCGACAGAGCAAGACTCTGCCCCAAGGAGAAAAAAATGCATTTTTAACAAGCATTGTCAAGAGATGCTGACTCTAACCTACAGGGTAGGGAAGTGTTTGGAGACGAATTTTCCATAAACAGCCTTGGCAGTTCAGATTTTAGCACCAGTCAGAAGTGTCGGACCAGGGTCTGGTTCTACCAGCACAAGACCCTCCAGGAGTCCCAGTTCTCTCACATTCAGTCTCATCCTTGTCCCTTCTGCCCCTACCTCTGGTTCTGCACCGTACTCTAGCCTAGCTCCTTGTGGCTCTCCCACCAGTACTACCCCCAAAAATATCCCAATTTAAAAAAAAAAATCACTGTAAGTACAGCTGTTCCTTAGTATCCAAGGAGGATTGGTGGCAGGAACCCCACAAATACCAAAATTCAAGGATACTTAAGTCCCTTATATAAAATGCATATAACATTTGCATATAACCTGTGCACAGACTCTGGATATTTTAGATAATTTCTAGATTACTTACAATACCTAATGCAATGTAAATGCTATTTTTTGTTATACTACATTTTTTATTTGTATTATGTATTGTTCTACTGTTATTATTATTTTTTTTTTCCCCAAATATTTTTCATCCTCGGTTGGTTAAAACCACAGACGCAGAACCCATGGATATGGAGGGCTGATCTTTTCAACAGAAAAGACAAGGATAGCTTACCATCTATACTTCTTGAAGGACTTTCTTTAGCCATTTCAATATCTTTTACTTCAAAATTAGTCAAGACAGAGCCACCTGCTTCTTGGAAATCCTGGGCAAATGACAAAGCCACCTGCCGATAGTCCACAATGCCAGTATGTGGACAATCAATTGCCATTAGACCCTGAAACAGAATTATGAAAAGATAACAGATAAGAGAAATAATACTTGCTAAATAACAAAATCTCTATAATCAAGAAACAATTTTGTCCTTTAGAGGAGTTGATTTTGCCAAGCTTTTCTTGCTGCTACAATGAGTTTTTCCATTTATTTATCCCTCACCATATCTGATTCTGAGTTGAATTCCGTATCATCAAACAATTATGTTTTAATAAGCTCTAGTGAGATTTTTCCCAGTAACACATACTACATTGTGCATACTTGGTAAGAACTCAAGAGTTGTTCTAGCTACTCACAATGTTTCCAGAGCATTGCTTTGACTTGCTGCCCAGACCCTATCTTTGAGACTACAAATATGGAATGGAGATTTTATGTGGTTAACTCAAACTTTTTCTTCAGGTAATACAAGAAATTAATAGACTGGTTTTTGTTTGTTTGTTTCTGTTTTTGTCCCTAAAGACATATCCAAATCAATGTTCATCAATCTGTAGGTGAATGACCTATATAACACATGCTTATTTTATTTTTTTAGAATAAATGTTGAACACGTCATTGACCTTTTCTAATTCTAAAGAAAAGGATAAGAGGAGAATTTCACACACTAAGTACTGACTACATTTTGGTGATCATTGTTAACAGCACCATTTTCTGTTGCCCTTTTTTGCATATCAGTATATCAGTTCTCCCAATCAATTTTCCCAAGAGGGTAGCCTGCTATCCAGGATAACATCCAGAAGGTGAGTGCTATTGATAAATTCTGCCATCCTCTCATTTGGCCAGCACAGCACTATCGTTGTTGTGGTTTTAAAATAATATCAGATATAATACTATTGTAAAGATCTCACTCTTGTATTCACCACCTGACCATTACCCCAACACATTCACCTGCTTGGCCCTTAGAAGATTTTCACTTTGCGGCTAGGTGCGGTGGCTCACGCCTATAATCCTAGCACTTTGGGAGGCCAAGGCAGGTGGATCACAAGGTCAGGAGTTCGAGATCAGACTGGCCAATTATGGTGAAACCCCATCCCTACTAAATATACAAAAATTAGCCAGACGTGGTGGCAGGCGCCTATAGACCCAGCTACTCAGGAGGCTGAGGCAGGAGAATCGCTTGAACCCCGGAGGCGGAGGTTGCAGTGAGCCGAGATCACGCCACTGCACTCCAGCCTGGACAACAGAGACTCCGTCTTTAAAAAAAGATTTTCTCTTTGCTTTCCAACTGTGACCAATGTTTCCTAATGACCAGGTCACACTGAGAGTAAAGACTCCCAAAACATCAACAGTCTCTTTTTTAACAAACTAAAAGCAATGTTTGGCAAACTTCATCATTTTCCTGACAGTCTCAATTCTAGAATACGAGAGTATTTGCCAAGCATACGAAATCATTCCTTCTGTTTTGATACAGTCAATAAACATAAGACTTAGTCATTGACTAAATTCACATGTCAGTAACTATAACTCAACTTCAACCTATAAACAATATTTTGGGTACAATAACCTTAGAAGCTCACTTAGGATAATACCAAGAGATTAGTCCATGAAAACTTCCTTACCTAGCATAAAATTATGTGACAAGTATAACCGAGGGATAAAAACATTCTGTAAAAGTGCTTCATTCTCGATCAATTGTTTTTTACAATTTCAAATAGCTTCCTTATTCATCTTATGCTCCCATTACCCAGCACAATGTCTGACACACTGAAGACACTCAAACATTTACTGAAGGATTGAATTTGAGGTCTGTGTTTAAACACATAAGATCCCCCTTACTCCATTCCAGACCTTCCCTAGAAGGCGTCCCTTCTTTTCTTTCTCTTTCTAGTCTTGGCTTTCCCCCTCCTCATAAGATGTTGGTGTTCCCCACCTATACATATGTGTTGTAGAAAGGTGAAAAAAGTCATCACCACCAAGCGATCCAATGCTCTGGCCTGGGACTAGCTGCAAGGTAGAGGCTGCCAAGTTGGGGTAGTATTGGTGGACAGGCTGGCTGTGTCTGTCACCCAGGAGGTTGGGCATGAACTGTCCAGGTCAGCAGGTCAGAGATTGAAATCTGAGGCCTTGGCAGATCAGAACCAGGCAAGAACCAGGCAAGCAGGACAGGGAAAGTTGAGAGCAGATCTCAGTCAGGATACAGAGGAACAGATGAACATGTGATTGACCAATAGTATTAATAAAATGGCAAAAGCAGACCAGAGGTCAGAGTAGCAGTGAGGATTTGCCCAGAGAGGGAGCAGTCAAGAGTTATCTTCAGCTACTCTGGACATACTGCTTATGGGGTAGCCATGCTCTGCAAGAAGTACTTAAAAAAAAATAAAAAGAGCTATCCTCCCAAGTCAAAGTTTACAGTGGCAGTTTAAAATTTTCCAAGGGCCTCTCCCTGATGATACTTGGTTTTCTTAAAGGGACCTGGTCTAAAAAACCCTTTAGAGCTGCCCTGGTAAACTTCTTTCTAGGGGGCCTGGAAAACAAAGAAGTGACCCTGTACCATGGACATTTTATCCACTATTTTATCATATAGCAGTGGTGACATTTTATCATATAGCAGTGGTGAGGTTGGTGAGGAAGGAAGGACTTTATTCAAAACATCTTTAGAAAATAATCAAACTACATGTTCTACTACATATTGCCATCCCTAAACACATGTAAACACTAATGATTACAACTTAGAATCATATAAAGTATATCGTGGAGGCCTCAAAGAGAAGCAGAATATGCCTCTTTTATAAGTTATTTTACTCATTCATCTTTCAAGTGGGGGTTTGTCTCTGAGGGTTTCTTAAACAATTGTACTACGCTAAAAGCATTCCCTTAACATTGGTACAGGAGAGTACCAGCTCTATCAGAATACTTATCACTATATTAAGTTATATCTTCTTTTACACTATAACCTCCTTCAGGTTGACAGCCATGCCTTATTCATCTTCTTATCTATCTACAGTGCCTAACACAGTATTTGGCACATAGTACTCAAAGAACCTTTGGTTGAACCAAACAGAAAAAAATACCAGTTCTGAGTCAGATCTTGGGGTGGGAACTCTTTGGGAGCTGTTTGACCCTAGGAAAATAACAAACAGTTTCTTCATTTATAAGACACAAAAGTATGTGTAATACATATAATTTCATTACCTATGCACACATATCTCACTGACCTCATTCCAAGGACCTGTGATGGTCACATCATCAGGTACAGAAAACAATATCCAGACTCATCCATAACCTTTACAACATCTGAAAAGTTTTTTTTTTCAGTAACGCATAATATAAAAAATCATGGGTTCCTGTTCCAATTTTTTCTATCTCTAAAGCCTTAACAAGTATACACAACAGACAACAATCAGATAGACCAATTCTCCACATTTCAGTATCACTAGGATACCAGTAATCCTGTTTTTCAAACTCTACAATTAAATTATTTTTATGACCAAATCTATCATGGGGCCAGCAGCTCAGATGTACGTTTTTTCTTTTTGATACCAATCTTAACATTTGAAAGACTTTTCAAAGGAAATAAAAATTAAAAGGTGTTAAAAATTGGCATGTCCTTTTGAAGGAGGTTATCAATTCTTTCATCCTTCAAGGCAATACCTGATAGGAGCACATCAATGAAAGTGTTTTTAAAAATTTTTGAACTTATTTTAGTTGACACTATAATTGTTTGTTTGTTTATTATTATTTATTATTATATTTTTGAGACAGAGTCTGGCTCGCTTTGTTGCCCAGGCTGGAGTGCAGTGGTGCAATCCGCCTCACTGCAACCTCTGCTCCCAGGTTCAAGCGATTCTCCTGCCTCAGCCTCCCAAGTAGCTGGACTACAGGCACCCACCACCACGCCTGCGCTATTTTTTTTATTTTTAGTAGAGACGGGTTTAATCATGTTTGCCATCAAACTCCTGACCTCAAATGATCCAATCACCTCAGCTCCCAAAGTACTGGGATACAGGCATGAGCCACCACGCCCAGCCAACTATTGTACATATTTATGGAACACAAGATGATATTTCAGTATGTGTATACAATGGGAATGATCAAATCAGGGTAATTAGTATATCATCACCTCAAACATTTATCATTTCTTGTGTTGTAAAAATTCAAAATCCTTTTTTCTAGCTTTTTGAAAATATGTGAAATTCTGATATTAGTTCACAATCAAATTCCATCAAAATCATATAAAGCTATGAAACAGCAATAGATTTAGTCTATTTCAGAAGGACATGTTTAATCACATATATAGGGAAGCCGTTGTTTTGCACTGAGCTTCTGTATTAGGCCTCTACAGACCAAACCAAAATGGAGTCACTCACACTAAAATTCCTCCATCAGAATGGAAACCAATTGTTTATATGACCTAAGAAATCAGAAGAGGATAATAACGAGTCAAGTCCCAAACAGGCTGGTTAGCCAGCTTGATAAGGAAGTCTTCTCTGTTTTTTCTGGAGTCCAACGGGCGCGATCTCAGCTCACCGCAACCTCCGCCTCCCTGGTTCAAGCCATTCTCTTGCCTCAGCCCCCGAGTAGCTGGATTACAGACATGCCGCAGCCAATCACCGGGTAATTCTTGTATTTTTAGTAGACATGGGGTTTCACCACATTGGTCAGGCTGATCTCAAACTCCTGACCTCAGATGATCTGCCTGCCTTGGCCCCTCAGAGTGCTGGGATTACAGGTGTGAGCCACTGCGCCTGGCCTCTGCTTTAACCTTATAAGGAAAGTAACTTTGAAACAACCAATCTGCTTTTCTTTAGGTAATACATAATATAAAAAATCATGGGTTCCTGTTCCGATTTTTTCTGTCTCTAAAGCCTTAACAACAACAACACAACAGACAACAATCAAATAGACCAATTCTCCAAATTTCAGTACCACTAGGATACCAGTAATCCTGTTTTTCAAACTCGACAATTAAATTATTTGGAGTGCAGTGGTTCTCTGTTTCTGCTTTCTTCAGCTCTTTTCTGCCTATAAAGGCCAACCTCCTCTGGTCAGCTCGTCAGAGTGCCTTTT